TTGCAGGTCTCCTCGTACCTCGTCGCGCTGAGGATATCAGCCTCAACACCGCTATTATCAATTTCATTTATATCATTTTGAACACAAAAATTCTGTAATTTACTGATAAAAATCAAATGAACAAATTTGCACAGAGTTTTCCTAAAGACAAAGGGTTATGCAATTCAATTCCTTTAAAAAACCAGAAGTTAAATAATTCAAGATGTAAAAAAGTGTTTAGTCATCAAAATTTATTTCTGGAATTCATAATCGGAGGAGAACGTACGAGACATAATGGCACAAAAAACTCTGTTGAAATTAGCATTTTAAGACTCAGTGATGTTAAGCGAGCTGAATAAGCCAAGGTAGGTCAAATAAATGAGCCGAAGTGGAAATAAATGAGTAGGTCACTGATAAAAGGTAGAAATATGTCACATTTGCTGGTATAGAAGAGAACAGCGTAGTCAAGAACCCACTAGATTGTAAAGAAAGTCCCGGGCAGTTTTGAAAGTTCAATTTTTTTACCATATATCAATGTTCTCTTTTTTGGTATATAGATCAGATACGATTGGGCATCGATGGAAATTAAAAACGTTGCTGGGAAGCTTAAGCTGTCTACTACAAAACATTGCGTAAAATATGTGAAAATTCGACCGAATGCGAACAAATGATTCTGAAAATTGAACTTTCAAAACTGCTTGGGACTTTCTTTACAATCTAGTGGGTTCTTGACTACGCTGTTCTCTTCTATATCAGCAAATGTGACATATTTCTACCTTTTATCAGTGACCTACTCATTTATTTGACCTACTTCGGCTCATTTATTTGACCCACCTTGGCTTATTCATCTCGCTTAACATCACTGAGTCTTGAAATGCTAATTTCAACTGACTTTTTTGCCATTAGGTCTCGTACCGTTTTCCTCCGATTGTGAATCCCAAAAATAAATTTTGATAACTAGACACTTTTTTACATCTTGAATTATTTCAACTTCTGGTTTTTTAAAGAATTGAATTGCATAACTCTTTTTCTTTATGAAAACTCTCCTCTGTGCAAGTTTCTTCATTTGATTCTTATCAGACAATTATAGAATGTCTCCTGTTCAAAATGATATAAATATCAATAATAGCGGTGTCCTTAAGGCTGATATCGCACCTCAGCGCGATGAAGTGCGAGGAGACTTCTTGGCAGGAGATTTCAGACGGCTAGCGTAATTATTTTACTGTATGCGGCGGTGATGACGCCAGCTCTAGCGGCTGGCTGCGGCAGCAGTCGGCTGCCTGGGTACCACTTGCACGCCTCCCTCCCTAGCTCGCAAGCTAGGGATTACCGAAGATTTCGATATCCTGAGTTCATTTATTTCTACTATAAACATCTTTAGCAGTGCCGTAGTCTATCCAAATTACAATTTTGGAGAAGTGGAGATGGAGAAGTGATCTCCTGGGCATTCCCAGGGGAAGCCATTTCAATGCCATTTTGCCATTCCTGAAATCACACAAAATAGTAAAAATCTAATCAATTATGCCAGTAACCTGACATCAATTATGCGCAGGTATCAGGGTATGAGAACCTTCATAAGCAAGATAGAGAAGGAAGAAGAAAGATACCTAAAGTAGGGATATATGACGCATCCCCTCTCAGATCCCCTCCCCTCCCAGCGGGATTTACGTGCATATGGGCCTAAGTCTTCAGAAAACCATCACAAGACTACTATTATGTCATTGTTTTCCCTGCTACGCGCCTACTCGACCACTTCTAAGTTACGAGCAGCGTTTCAAAACACTGAACAGCTTGAGCGGCTCTAGTATATCGTAGAACTGTGCATTGTGCACGATGTTGTATTAGCTTTCAGGATTTTCAGAGGAGGTGAAACTAAGCGAAGTCCTTCAAATACTGTGGTGTGGTGTTCAAACCCAGTTGTTGAAGAACTAGTACATTTTCTATCTATTCACGTTACAAAATGGTGGGCGAAGACAATTTCATGTTGCATGATTATAAATTTTGTCTGCACGTCAAGAATGTCTTCCGACTTGTACTAGAAATTGTTCAAACGTGAGATCAGGGAGAAAAGATTAAAAGATTTTTCAGGTTCTACACAACCTATATCGCTGCTATCACAGACATATACGCAACGAAGTTCAGTAAGTGGTCTTTCAAATATATGTTGCTGTTGCGGTTTCAAAAGCTGAGTTATCCTCTTCATATCGTTATAGCCACTACCTGTTGCAAAGAACTTACAAACATTTCTTAGGTCTAGTGGGCTTGCCGAATCTGCCATATAAACCGCACGGGTCAGCACGAAACGACTAGCCTAGTTCTCATCCGTTGAGTTGCCATTCGTCATCATTCTTTTCTCAATGTATTTAACTTTTATACATTCCTCATCTACCATACTGACCATTGCCAAGCCTATTTGATCGTCTATCACTTCGACTATCCTAGCTTTGGAGAAGTCGATACATTGGTTGATGTTATTACACAAGGAGTCCCAAAAAGATGTGCACACTCTTTAATCGTTAATAACTCTCTTGCTCAAGTCTTTTGCCGAGCTTGAGGTACCAATCTTCAGAGCGAGGTTCAACTTAGATTTACAGTATGGAACGACTTATCAGCAGCTCTTCATTACTGTAGGATTACGGTAGGAATTTCGAGGAGGATTTTGAGCCATTGGAAGCGGTATTTTGCTTCAGAAAGAAAGCCAAACAAGCCAGAAACTCTTGAATTGGGTTAATCAAAGTTTCTGATTCTAGATATGAAAACTGCACGCCCGTACACTATTTCTTTCACAAGTTATTTCAGATTTCCGCCAGTGGTCAGCAAAATTTTGGGGCGTGGCCAAACCTTCAGCGAGCGGTACTTCCGTGCTCTGCCAGAGGGCAGCAATACAAGATTTTCTGCAAGCGCTCGTCAAATATTCTCTTTCAGCGAGCGCTGGCCAAACTTTCAGATGCGTTCGAACTCTATTTACGCAGTTACAGGCGTACCCTGAGTAAAGATGAAACGTGTGGCAGAAGTGTCATCGACACTTCAATTGCTTAGTTTGGGTACTTTCTCTCGCCAGAAAGTACCTGAAGGCTGTGCGACTGTGCGGCCCTTAATAATTTCGCATATTCTCGCAAAAAAAATCAACGAGGATGCGGCCATTCGCCGCAACCAATCTATGAAAAAGCCGCAGTTGTTCTCCGAGCATTTATCCAAAATCGCCAAAATTTTTACAGATATCGGCAAGCGGACCGCAAGAAATCATCGAACTATTTTTCCGTTGCCCTCCTGCCCCCGGCGATAATCTGAGTAGGATTTTACAAACAGTTTTCGCGCGTCATCGCTATGCGTCCCTTTTTGTAGACGCCGCCTTCGTTGCTTCGTTTACTTTCTCAATGTTCCTTTAAATGTGATCACACCATTTAAGAAGCTGAAAAACTCATGAAAAATTGCGTGGAAGCTGTTACGCAACTTCCAGATCTCCTATTTCGAGTTTTTTGCCCAATACACAATGACGATGCACGGTGTTATTCTTTACCGTGGCGTGTGCGATTATTGAATCTATTTTATAGAATTAAGTTGAAACCAGCTCTCTAAATTAAACGGCGAATACTTTGGAACAAGAGAGGTGCTTACAACCAAATAAGGGAAGACTGTCTTTACGCACGTGCGGTCTCCAGCGGTCTCCAGCGTTGCCCTAATTTTGGTTTGTCTTAACACGTCACGCACGCCAAATCTTTCCTCCTGCTTTGCTTAGGGAGCCTCTAAACTCCGCAGGTTGCCGCTTTTGCTGCCGCTAGCCGCTTTCGAGCCAGTTGCCGCTTTTGCAGCAAAAGTGCAGTGTGTCAAGCCATTTCACTCTAGCGCGTGTGAGAAAACTAACTGTTCAATCTACCTATTGCTTCCTCATATCTTTTTTTGACTTTTCTTCAATTGGATGAATTAGAGATACAAGTTTCTAGATAATAGTTGCTTCAGGATTTGAAACATCGCCTTTGAGAACAGATGCACTAAGTGTCGACTACATTCAGCTAGAGTTTACAAGTTACAGTATTCTTTGCGTTCTTTTCAGTTTCCATTACACTTAACTTGTGTAGTTTTTGTGAGTTATTCGTTTTGGAGGACTGGATGGACCTTGGTGAACATTTCTGCACATCTGATGCATGGACGTAAGCGTAGAAAGACTGCGTCATCCACAACAAATATGAAACTTGTGCGTTGGCACTTTACCTACTTATAGCGCTTTTCGTCACTTTCACTTCGTTTTTGCTTTTAGTTCAAGTTTTATATTAGTTGTGAGTGATGCGTTTTTTAATGCTTACCTCCATGCATTTTTATGGATGTGCACAAACGAGATTGGTCCACTTTGTAAATTCCAGCTGAATGTAGTCAGTACTTAGCGTATGTCTCAACAAAGTTTTGAGTCTTGAACAACTAACATCCGAAAACTTGTATCTCAAAACCCTCTATAACACAAACATCAAGAAAATGACATGAAAAATCACAGAAAAGTAAATTGATCAATGAGATTTTGTGACTCACGCGCGCTAGGGAGACAATGACAATCACTTGACCCACTGCGCTTCTGCTGCAAAAGCGGCAACCGGCGGAGTCTGGAGGGTCCCTTAGGAAAAAGCCGCCGCATGTGCGCGCGACAATGGTCTTGTGGGGAAAACATTAGGTCGTGTGAATCGCCCCACCATCCAAATAAGACACACATTTGTGGGACAGCCAGTACAAGTACAATTTAAAGGTAACAAGAGTTATCTTTTTCTGACAGTCTGGAGATTCTGACATAAGAAAGTGCCTGATCACACTGATCTGCGAAAACTATTCACACTTGTATAAATTATCTTGATCCAAACATCAATCTCAACATTGATTGAAGCGATCAGCACTTTAGAGTCTAGAGGTCGTGACTACATTATAATGAGACGAAAGCATTGATTTTTGATATTCTCCGCTCTTTAACGAAAGTTATTTTCGCAAGATATTCATTTTTAACAGAGATCGATCTGAAAGCTTTTTCTGACACTTTTAGATTCAGCACTTACATCAATGTTGCAAGCTTTTTTCATTTGAGTGACACATCGCTTCCGACGACTATAACAGCATGAGCATACTGCTCTTTCTGCTGCTTAGCTTTACTTTGAACGTTCAATGTGCTAAATGGAACGACTGTGACACCTGCGTACTTTCCGTGTCTAGTTTCGTGGATTATCCTCAAATGAATAAGAAAATGCGGAAAAGGGATGTACGTTTTTCGGTTATTTTTTGAAGCTATGTATGTGGACCAAGTTCTTCAGAGGCTGAAGCAAGTCTGTACTTTTGTGAGTACACATGTGGGAGATTCAAAACCTCTGAAAACATGTGACACGGTTTTGAGGGAAGTTATTGCCAATAAAGCCGTTTTTCGAAAGATGCAGGTTTGTGAACAATAAATCTTAATGCCATTTTTCCCAAGAAAGATATTTTTAGGGCTACAAAGCGAAAGGACTAAATATGAAATGGTTCTGTGCTAAAGAATTGTCGAAATCATACTGCACGTCCAAAGATTCAACCATAATTCACTTATGATGCCTTTTTGCGTTTGGAGTGCGATTATTGAAGATGGTATTTTGGTGAGCAATAAAACTTCTCCGATTTGTGTGTGCCTTCAAAGAAGATGTGGATTATTTGCAACAGAATAAAATGCTTTCGAACTATAAATAATACGAGAACCTTTGCTTACGAGACATTTCCTAATCCCATTTTCCATTGCAGGGTGACCTAAAAGTCTAGCCTACTATTTTTTCTGACATAAACGAAAGGGAACAATATAAGGATATAAAGTGTGGTGCACACATTACTCAAACAATAGCAAACGCAATAGTATTCAAATTTTGTGATGGCATTTTTTCTTTTTCAACGAAGCCTATAAACTGTTGGCGATTCACTGCCATGGTACGCAATTAAAATCAATATTTGTGTCCCATCCTTCTCGGCAATAGCTCCTTTCTCTTAGAAAATGCGCGTAAAATTTTTTTTTGTAAAATTCAAATTTGAATGCAGGAATGTGTGGACCACAGGCTTGTTTTCTGAACACAATTGCGGAAAATGATAACAAAAAACTGGCTATAAATTTAGGAAGCAAGTTCGAAGGAATTACTTTGGGTTCAGTGACTGCTGCACTTTTACGGACCTAAAATTGACTTCAAAAAATTGGCAGTTTCACGCGTTCAAAGTTTCTCAAATTTTTTTTGCCTGTCCCGATAAAGTATTTTCTAAATACACCTATTTTAGTGATAGTAGTGCAAACCTCCTCAGTATAGTGAACATAAATTTGCAGCACAATGTTTCAGATATTAGGTTGTCCCGAAAGTTTGGTCCGTTTTTTCAACCTATCATAAAAATATGTGGAATAAAGAATAGGGAAACGATTCAAGCACCACCCGAAGCAGCTTTTCCTCCTCTTTCTAACTGTCAAGTCACTGAGATAAACACCGAAATTTCGAACCCATAGTTTTTACTATGTCCAAGTTTGACAATTTTTCACAATCTTTATTTTTGACTTTCGGAAAAGCTTTGGCAACAATCAGCTAGTGCAAACAAAGGGCAATATAATGCAATCATTTGGCTGGCTTTTCAATATTTTTAAAGATAATTTTTACAAAAGTCTTTACTTTTGCGAAGTTCTAACATACAGAAACGCCTCGAACGCTAACAAATCATCGGATTTTGAAGCTTTAAAAAACCGATTACGATTATTCTCTATTTTTACAAAGCAAATGAGCGTTTACCGCTTCGAAATATAAGATTTTGCATTTTACGTGTACACGCTGAGGTGGGGTCAAACTCAAGAATTATGAAAATTTTATCCCCAAAAGCCCCGCAAATTGGAGAGAAAATGCACACACTGGAATGAGGAGGAAAAGCTGCATCGAGTAACACCTTAGTTGTGCGCCGTTTCATGGTCTCTGGCTTTTGGTATCACCAAAAGTGGAATTTGATAGCATCAGAAAAATAATTCTAAAAAATTTTCAAGGCTGGCTATAGATGCCTCAAAATTGCATTATATTGCCCTTTGTTCGCACTATCTGATTGTTGCCAAAGCTTTTCCGAAAGTCAAAAATAAAGATTGTGAAAAATTGTCAAACTTGGACAAAGTAAAAACTATGGGTTCGAAATTTCGGCGTTTATCTCAGTGAACAAAAGATTAATCGGCATGGAAGCATGACAGTCAGAAAGAGAAGGAAAAGATGCGTCGGATAATGCTTAGAGCGTTTCCCCATCTTCGTTCCACGCGTTTTTATGATAGCTTGAAGAAACGGACAAAACTTTCGGGACAACCTAATTCATCCAGTACTGGAATTAATTGCAATTCGGAAAAGATAGATTTTTTGCTCTCTCAGAAAGTACGTTTGCTTGGACGTCAAATGACCGCAAAAATTAGATAAATCATTATGCTATCGAAAAGTAATCGGCTGACCAGTGCTCCTTTGGAGAGCTTGCACCATCTGACGTTTAGTGTGGTTTCCAAATGTGGCAGAGATAGCATCACTGAGCATGCTTCGAAATTTATCACCTACTTAACGTAAATTCGGAGCACCTTGCAGCTAAATGGGCTCAGCGGTATAACGGTCCCGCATACTTGACTGAAACTTTGCTTTTACAAGATAGCACTAATTCGAAATTTGCAGGGCTTCATTGCAAACATGGAGGCGCAAACTAACCACACCGGAAAAGTTTGCCCAATTTTCAAACTGATTTCCCTTGGGGAGTCAAACATCTTCTAGATTGATAACCACATTGCTAAGCTTTTTCTAAACTGTTTCCAATAAAAAATCAGTGCATTCAAGTTTGAAGGACTATTCAGACAGCTGAGCCCAATTTTTGAGCTGAAAGATGCTCACAATTTGAGTTAAGTTGTTGGTAGATCTTGAAACATACCAAGTAATGATTTTTTTTGCTACATTCGGAAATAAATTACTATTCAATGTCAAATGGTACAACCTTTTCAAGGAAGCACAGGTTGCCGACTACTTCTCACAACCTAATGATTCATCCAACTTATGCGGACATTCTCAGACAATCGCCGGGGCAGGCGGTCAGCAAACTCGCGTTTTTCTGCAGGCGGTCAGCAGAATTTTGGGGCGTGGCCAAACCTTCAGCGGGCGGCACTTCCTTTACTGTGTAATGTTCTGCCAGCGGGCAGCAACACAGAATTTTCTGCAGGCGTTGGTCAAATGGTCTCTTTCAGCGAGCGCTGGTCAAATTTTCAGCTGGCGCTCGGACGGTTTTTGAGCAGTTTCGGGAGTACGCCGAGCAAAGGTGAGACTCTACATGGCAGAGGTGTCATCGATGGTTTAATTACTCAAGTTTGAGGTACTTTCTCTCAGCGGAAAGTACCTGGGGGCTGCGCGGTCCTCCACAAAGGATCGTGCGGCCCCCGAAAATTTTGCATATTCCCGCGGAAAGTCCGCTAGAATGCGGCCACTGCGCCGCAGCTAATCTTTGAGTAAACCGCGATTGTTCTCCAAGCATTCATTTGAAATTTCGCTAAAATTCTTCCAAATATCTGCAAGCGGACCGCAATAAATCGGCGAACTATTTTTCCGGTGCCAGCTTGCCCAAAAATCGCGTGGCCGCTTGCCCCCGGCGATTATCTGAGTTAGGCGTCCAAGAAAATTCGCTCCGTGAAGTCTTCTTTTTTGAAGCTTGATGAATGCTTGTTGCACTGCATTCTTAAGGCTTGGGATTGCATCTGTAGCCTGATGATACTGGAAGGTGATAACTTTTTTGAAGACATTTAACAGAAGGTAGCTGTAAGTTTCTGACCGACTTCGATGTTACCGTTTTCTCCATTTTCCCCCGAGACTCTTCTGTGTGCATGAAATGCAGAATTTTTTGACTGAATGTGGAAGGTGTGATTTGCACGGATATCATACTATATCATATCACGCATATCAAACTTTGAGTTCGTTATTTGCGTAACAGAGTTACAGCAATATTCCAAGATGTTTGCAAATTTCTGATCAGCACAATGTAAAAAGTCTGCTTCTGCACTTAGCGCTCAGATTTTGAAGAAAGTTTTAACCAGCTTCAACGCTGCTCACAGAACTACAGCAAACATTCAGATAGAGAAATGAAAATTTACATACAACACGATGCATTCGCGCGTCATTTGCAACTCAATATGTGAGTTTGCACACTACGTTTGGCAATCGACGGCATCTTACCGTTCTTGTAGCTGAACTCTTTCTAGCAAACTGCTGCTGATAGTCCAGTCAAACCGAAAGAGGAAAGCAAACGAAGAAAAGACATTGAGTTCTACAGGAGGAAATAGGCGGTGGTGTACAGAACGAATATTATTAGGGTGTCTCATAATTTTTCACCCTTTTTATTCCAACCGTCGTCTTTTTGTATCTTTCCTTCATCTAATGTAGCTTGAGTAATCATTCGACAAGGCAAAGCAAGCCCAAGATGGCAAGGTCTACAAGATGGCTATTGAAACTGTGCACAAATCGTACCCCACACAAAGTTTTAAGAGCTCAAATGTAATAGCAGTGGAAAACGAACTTTTCTGTCAAAAATCGTATCTTCGCCTTAAAATATCTAGAAAAATCCCCCATTTATCCTAGCATATGCTTGACACGTCACATATTCGTTTAAAGAAAAAAATTCAAAGAAGTAAAATGGCAAACTCCGCCCCTAGACATCCTGAGCTCCTCCCACGCATGTGGCCATATGGATCATACATACAGTGCGATCCATTTATGCCCTCTATAAGTGCCCTAGTTCTCATGAAATGCTGATTTTTAGGATGAAAACGGTAAAAAATTATGAGACACCTCAATAAACCAAGACTTGAATTCAGCAATAAATACAATGTAATTTTGTTTGCTGAGTAAACGCTTCTTCCAGATTTACTGAACGAGTAGATTATTAGCAAGTTTTTGTTGTCTTTCATGAGATCTAAAAATATATACATTGGTGTAAACCGTTTAACAGTAGCCGCTGTGCTAATTTCTTGTTGGCAAGCTTGAAAAATATAAGGTCCCGAGAGTAAGCTCCTTCTTGATTCATCAAATTGTTTTGTTTTTCTAGCTGACTTAAGGCGCTGTTCAGTAGAGCAAAGCAAGCTCCATAATTAGCCAGAGATCACACAATTTTTGTAAAGTAAAGGTGGAGGCAGGATCGAAAAAAATTATCACCTGGCAATGGATTTTCGTCAAAAAAATCTTACAAATCTCATATTGATTCAGTGGATACATAGTATGTATTACGCATTGCTAATTTTGCGAGGAAAAAGACGTGAAAAAATTTTAAACGAAAATTGAGAAAAAGATAGTCCGAAAATGGCGGACCTCACCCCAGCTCTTCTCCATGTGTGATTGTACAGGGTGTCGTAAAAATATGTGCCTACTGTTCAATTGTTGATGGCTTTCCTGTAATGAAGTCCTTCGAAAAGCTTTACGTACCATTTGTAGAGCTGGCTTCAACCTAGATTTACAGTATTACGCAAATCCAGAATCTGTCTTCATTAGTGTAGGAGGTAGAAACTTTGAGGAGGTTTTTGAGCAAATAAGGGTCATATTTTAAGCCTAAAATAGAAACAAAAAAGCTGAAAGCTCCCACACTAAGTCAATCAGAGTCACTGATTCCAAAAATAAAAAACTCGCACTTTACCGTAACGCATTTTTCTTAAGTTATGCTAGATATGTACCACAATAACCAATTTCTGCTATTCGTCTTAGGCCGTTTAAAAAGCTCTATGGAAGCGCAAGAATTTGGTACTGGAATTAGCATGCATAAAATTTTTCAAACAATTTATACATTTTTGAGAAAATTTTCCCAAACGGCCTTCTCACAGTAGTGCCATATGCTGCAAGTTACTACTGTGCTCATACAATAAAGAAGATAAATTCTCAATTTGCTTCATATGCAAATCTAATTGCAAGTGAAGCCAGCTTCACAAAGCGGAACTTAAAGCTTCTCGAAGGAATTCATTACATGAGAATTATTAACAACCAAACAATATGCACATCTTTTTGGGACATCCCGTACACGGGAAGCCTTAGTAAGCATAACTTGTTATAGTGGGTTGTTCGCTGTCCGAACTAGTTGCCTTGTTTCGATGCAGCTATTTTAGAGTTTTGTACGGATTGCAGATGTCTTATTCTTCAAATTTGTTTCCAGGGATTGCAGATGAATTCAGCTGTTCTAATATTGTGTATGCTAGAGTAAAGCTAAAGCAGGAAATAACCATTAGCCCATTAGCCTTTCTCGTTCTCGACAGCAAGAAAAAATTAAGTATGAAAAAGTCGGCCTGCTTAAATGATCGCTTTTTTGCTTTGCTCAACAATTCCATGCAGCAGAAAAGTTTTCAAGTTTTCTTTAATGAGAAAAAATTTTTTTGAAGTATAGGCTACTAAATGATGGCAGCCAAATATCTCTGCCTATCCTTATATGGGAGCATCAGTGGAAACAAACTTTTTTGAAGGCCTGGCAAGTTCTCCAAATTTTCTCTTCCTTCTCACATAATAACCATAAGGTTTCATCCAGCAAAAATAAGTTTGTAAAAAATGTTGATGAAAAAGTTATAACATTTTCCATCAAAAAATCTCGGACAGAATTTTCGGAATAGGTATCTTTCAGTGGCGTACCGAACCCCCCCCCCTCCCCCAGAGAATGGGTCGCGAAATTTTTGAAAGTTACTTAAGTGTGTTAAAAAAATGTGCAAGCGACTTATTTTTACTTGTAAATAATTGAAATTTTTTGAAAATACAAATCAACCTTGTGAATCTGAAATTTCGCGGTCAGAGGCCCGAAAAAATTTTGAAAAGCATCCCAAAATTTTTTCGAAGTGCGTGGCTAACGCCACGCACCTTCATTAGAAAATTTTTTGTCCCCCCCCCCCGAGCCGAAATCCTGGGTACGTCACTGGTACCTTTGCATGTGAACGTGATGAAGAAATACCAAAATTAACATTGCAAACCGAAAAGCTTTCCTAATTTTAGGCCCCTGAAAATAATCAGTGGATACTGAAAGCTTCCTGATTTTAGGTTTTGTGAAAATAGTCAGCAGATACTATGTGTCTACTTATGATGAACAGTTGGAGGTCCGCAGGAATTTTCTGACAGGGGATCCACTTTTCAAGGTAGTGCGTAAATTTTAGTTCATTGGCCCAGACTCTACCTGAAGAGAAGAATTTACTTTTAGGAGAATTTGATGAATGTTAAAATATGCAATCATACCCTACCACATGGGAATGGATTTTTAATGGCAGACGATTGTTAAAGCGCGTATCAAACATCTAGAGGAAGGAAAACGGCAGTGAATGAATTATTTAAGAGCCAAATGCAGACTGTATAAATAAGCAAGATTGATCGCTTGTCAATGTTTTCTAGCTGAATAAAAGAACTTTTGAAGGTCTTCCTTCTACATATTAATTTTACGAAACTGCTAACAATTTCAACAGAACTTCTTTCAAACTGCGAATTATTAAGTGACAGCATGCATAAACTGTTTTTTCTAATTCTCATCCTTGCCTTGTATGTTGAATGCGCCAGATGGAGTGAATGCCACACATGCATGTCTTCCTTATCAAAGTTTGTAGCTCTTTCTAAAGCATGGAATAAAATGCAAGGAAAGGATGTGAGTCTAACTTCAAGCATTTATCCGACCTTTAGAAATTGTTTGCAGAAATTGATGACATCTTGCAATTTTGTCCGGGAACGTTCAAAGGACTCAAAGCAGTACAAAGTATGCGAGCAGATTCTTACGGAAGTTATGGCTCACCAAGTCATTCTCCACAAGATCAAAGTACTTAGTTCATATAATAGTTACCAAACTGTCCTCTAAAAAGCTTTCGACAAAACAGTTTTTAGGTGTATAGAGCAAAACACAAAAGTGTGCGCGCTTTTTGTGCCAGAGAACTGTCGAAATCATATTGTCCATACCGAGGATAAACAATTGATACTCATATTTTGATAGCAGATGCTTTCTGAATTTTCCTAACAAACTCAAGTAAAGATGATGGCATTAAACAGCAAGTCCTCTCTTCTCTAAATCTGGGCATTGGTGTTCATAAATATGTTGATGTTTTGCCGAGCCCAAATTTTTACGGTGAATCTTTTATTGCCCTACGTTTGACACGTTTCGTCTTCTTCGGAGTCCTGAAAGAAGATTGCAGTTTTGATCTGTGAAACTACGCCGCCAAACGTCATTCCCGTACTCATCGAGTCCAGACGTTGTCCCATGTACAACGTACTGAGACGCACGTCGAAAAAGAAACCAACCCTCGATCCACCGCGATATCGATGTCAGTAGTCCGCACCGAAGTACCGGACGGTAGCCGCACACTGATGTTGTAGACGGACGGCACTGAGTGTCACTCGTGTGTCACGTCTTTATATGGGTAGGGCTACTGCTCACATAATGATAGGAAGGGCAAAAAATCATCAGTCATCGTCAGGCATTCATTCTTGTTGTTGATGCTTGGACACTTGATGGAAACCCACAAGGCTTCCAAGTTTTTCTTTTGAAAAAACTGATGTTGTAGACTGTCCGTCTACAACATCAGTGTGCGGCTACCGTCCGGTACTTCGGTGCGGACTACTGACATCGATATCGCGGTGGATCGAGGGTTGGTTTCTTTTTCGACGTGCGTCTCAGTGCGTTGTACATGAGACAACGTCTGGACTCGATGAGTACGGGAATGACTTTCGGCGGCGTAGTCTCACAGATCAAAACTGCAATCTTCCAGGCCTCCGAAGAAGACGAAACATGTTGAAGCGTAAGGCAATAGACTCACCGTAAAAATTAGGGCTCGGCAAAACATCAACATATTGATGATGGCATTGTTTTGCAATGAAATGTTTTTTGACTTGTTCTGGGTCTCTGTCGGTGCTATTTCGCTAGCTGAACAGCAAGATCCTCTTCAGAAATTTCGGTGATTGAGACGATATAGATTGATTGTAACATGCGGGGAGGCCGTAAAAAAGAAGCCAAATGGAGCGGTTGTGGATCGGCTAGCTTTGTGTTTGTCCAAAGAGTGTAGGAATAGGGCCCCGCAAAGTCAGCTTCTAGCCTTTCCAAGAAGGAAGACCCCTCGCTTTTCAATATTTTTACGAAGTCGCCCTGAATGAGCTTGCATAGAAAATAATAATGTTGTTTTGACAGGCTGCAGAGAGGTTTTGCAGAGATAATTTGTAGCTTTCCGATGCTCGAAATAATTATTAATGAATTAAGCAATTACAGATAGACTACATTAGGGAATAGAGGTAGGAAGGAAGAAAGAGAACAAAAAGACAGAATCTAACGTGCAAATGAAATCTTTGAGACAAGCTGCATTTGCCAAGTTTGCGGTTGAGGCGCTAAATCCATTGAATCAGTTTTTGTGCATGAAAGAGTGATGACGCTAACAAGGGAAGGATACCAGATCGCAGTCGCAGACCGAAATGTTATGTATATCATCAAATGCATTTTGATGAGCTGATTCCAATCCTAACCTCCTTATCTCTTGACCTCCTCTCTAGAAGAAGTTATGAGCGTTTGAATATCTGAATTTGGCAATCATTTAGTGCCACACTTCCAAGAATTTAGTTCTTGAGATGTTGAACAAATTGATGAACCAATGGCTTGAGTCTCCCGCTAAAATCGCTCTTGAAGCGTCAAAACTGGCTTCGAATATCAAGCTGACATTAGAGTTGAGACAAACTGGTGGCGTACGCGACATACGCGATGTACGCATACGTGCATAAAGACATAGGGCGTGCTGCGTACTTGCGCACGCCGCGTATGCCGCGCAGTCTCGCAACCTTTACGCGCGGCGTCCGCCCATTCCGGAACTCAACGCCTTTATACGCGCAAAACGCTGTGAAGGCAATCCAGTTCGCCCCGGCACTTTTGACATTTGCACATGAGAGCAGAGGGAGTTTGGAAGCAGGCGAGTCAAACCCCCCCGCAGCTTTCCGGGGATAGCGCAAACCTCGATTTTCGTGTTTTTAGGAAATGAAATTCGTATAGGTACAGTGCTGGCCAAAATTATAGGTCCACTCTAAAAAATGCCATAACTCACTCTGTTGTAAATGAAATTTTCCAAAATTTGGTACAGACGTGTGTTTACCAGCCTACTATCAGTCTTCAAAACGGTTCTCGTTTTCGTTTGATTATTCAAGAAAAAATTAGAAATTTTGAAAAAAGCGGGCTTGAAGGCTGGCCAAAATTATAGGTCCACCTGGAGTTTACTGATTAAAGCACTTCTTAGCTCCCAAATTTTTTTAGGTTGGCACACATCTAAGAACGTTAAACAGCTGCTTTAGTCAAGCTGTGTCATACCTCCACAAAGGACGGATTATCTGCTTTTTTGCCTTGAAGATGCTCTCACATGTATTTCGCTCCACAAACCTGTGTTGAGTAAGAAATTTTGCAGTTTCTCAGTTGGATCGGAAGGGATGGGGTCTCATCTATCTTCTGGATGCTTTTTGACGTGAGCATTGAGGAAAAAAATCCGACTTTTTGCTGCTGAAGCAAATCTGACATTGACATACTGCAATCCTGAGCTAAAATTTCTGCCTTCAAACTTCTTTTACAATGTTCTCAGAAGCATTAAGTAAAGTAAAGGCATTGTTTCTATGAAGGGAACTCCGTATACCATAGTTAAACTTTCTAGAGATCCTAGCATTCGAGTATAATTGCTGAAATCACTCTGTAGAAACTGATTACGACAAGCACCAAAGCTACATGTGGCTCCGACCAAAATTTTCAGAAGAATCATGTGTTAACATACACTACAAGCTGTATCCACTATCTAGTAAATAATTACTGTCAAAAATCTAAGTGAGGTAGCACTTGGAAAGCTATTTTGGATCGCATAACACATTACTACCTTGCACACACAACTCATGTTTCGAAAAAGAAGCAGGCAGCTTTGTGGACACTTGCGAGTATGACAAACAGCTTTATTCTTGTGTAAAAAATGCTTCTACAATATCTTGAGTTTATAATGACAATGCATAAAGAGTTTTAGGGCAGAAACTGAGGCTTACTCTGCCGATTAAGCCTATGTCAGATTTGCTTCAGCAGCAAAAAGTCGGATTTTTTCCCTCAATGCTCACGTAAAAGCATCCAGAAGATAGATGAATCCCCGTCCCTTCCGATCCAGCTGAGAAACTGCAGAATTTCTTACTCAACGCAGGTTTGTGGAGCGAAATACATATGAGTGCATCTTCAAGGCAAAAAAGCAGATAATCCGTCCTTTGTGGAGGTATGACACAGCTTGACTAAAGCAGCTGTTTAACGTTCTTAGATGTGTGCCAACCTAAAAAAATTTGGGAGCTAAGAAGTGCTTTAATCAGTAAAAACTCCAGGTGGACCTATAATTTTGGCCAGCCTTCAAGCCTGCTTTTTTCAAAATTTCTAATTTTTTCTTGAATAATCAAACGAAAACGAGAACCGTTTTGAAGACTGATAGTAGGCTGGTAAACACACGTCTGTACCAAATTTTGGAAAATTTCATTCACAACAGAGTGAGTTATGGCATTTTTTAGAGTGGACCTATAATTTTGGCCAGCACTGTATTAATGCGGTCGAAGGAGACCAAGCGACTAAAAAACAGGGAACCAAATTCTATCTACGCACTGCCTCTGAAATCCGAGCTCATTATTGAAAATGATATGTTGAGGATGTAAGAAACATTATAAGACCATTTAAAATGTCATATTTTTTTGAATTTTTTCACAATGAAGATTTTGTAAAAAACTACTGCTGCTATATGCTGGCTTCCCCAGGTTTATTATTAGCGTTATGAAAAGCCACTTTTTTCCAAGACCGGTTGCGTCTTTTTCAAAATGTGGATAATTGCTTTCGGGGGCAAACACTTGAGTATTCAGGCCTTGTATCCACATTCTGCTGATATCTCGCGCTCGCTAATCTCGTTCTTACCCAGATCAGACTTTTCGGGAGCTTTTATTGAGGTAAAATTTGGCACTATGGAAGCATTGAAAAGCACTGTAAACATAATTATGGCCATGAGGTGCATGAGGCGGTATCGAGCTGATATAAAGATCAAGTTTGCCAATTTCCTCTTCCTTAGTTTCTTCGCACTTGAGGTGTGATGCCGTTCGAAGTATTTGTACTTCGCTTACTCAGTTCAAGGGTAATTTTGTTCTTCAGCGTTTCGGAAACAACCAAGCAGACTTTACTCTTGGTTCGTTTGTTTTACTACAAAACGCTTTACCCATTATTTATGTCACTTTCTTTTTTCCCTTCTACTTGGTCTCTTGAATGTAGGTAACGCTCATTTTACGTTTCCTGAAAAGATCTGTCGCGCATGGCATGTCAAGGATCCCGATGATGGTTGCTAGACTTGGCTGTTGAAGAGAACTTCTGTGCTTGCCAAAGGTGGACTAGCTTCTTCCGTTTCTGCTCATCTTGTTGACACAATAATCCTCGTTTGCTATTCGCACTTGTCGTGCCTAATTGAACGTCCTTTCCCGAGAACGCCCTAACTAGTTTACATGAAGATTTTGATCCTGAAAGAGCATTTTGATGCAACGGGATATATCTGTTCAGCCGACTGGTTGCGTGTTTTTCCTGAGGCCGTACTCATCAGCGAACCATGAGGGTAAACCCTACCCTCAAGGGTAGGGTTCTTTCAAGGGTAAGCTTAGGGTTCATTGGCCGTATTCATCAAAAAACACTTGAGGGTAGGGTTTACCTGGAAAGCGACTAACCCGTATTCATCAACGAACCCTTACGGTTAATCTCAGTGGTGTAGCCAGGATTTCCGTTCAAAGGTAGGAGGGTTAGCCACGCACCTTCATCCGAAAAGCCACGCCATGCACTCCGAAAAAATTTTGTGAATGCTTCTCAAAATTTTCGCGGGCTCATAACGCCGAAATTTCAAGTGGACGTGGCCTCAGCCAAGCTGAAAGAATTTTTTGGGCTAAATTGAATCTTCAAAAAATTTGAAAAATATTATAATTATTTACAAGTATGAACAAGTTGCTTGCACATTTCAGTTACTCATGTAAGTAATTTTCAAAAAGTTTGCTTTCAAATTTTCAAACTTTCAAATTCTCGGAAGGGGGGGGGGCTATCCCCCCTCCTTGGTACGCCACTTGTTAATCCTACCCACAAGGATAGGTTCTACGCTCAGTGATCATTGGCCGTATTCATCAACAAACCCTTGAGGATTAATTCTACCCAGAAAGCGATTAAGTTCGACGGTGGCTTATCAGGGCGGATTTAATTTTACCGTAGAACAAGATTGAATTTCTCTGACAGTACGAAGATCATGTGATCTCTCAATGCAATTTTCAGTCCTAGCGATACTGTTTTGACATTAAACACATATTTATGTTTACTACTACCTCAAACTTTTACGGCCTCTTTTCGTATTTTTTTTGTTTCACGTTATCATCGGGTATTATATTCGGCAGAATTGTTTTGGTAAAAGATTTAGTTTTAAAAGAAGTACATGTTTAACTATGGGCTTTAATATGGCGAACATCAGGCTCGACAACTCGGAAAATGTCCTTTATTGGAACCTTCATTCAAGTCTTAGTCCACCAATATACTATATTCGCCAATAAATGATTTGATGCATGGCCAAACTATAGTAGTCAACTAGATAGACTTGAAGCTGGCCAATAAATTACTGAAAAAATTCTAACCTAGTTTTTATAATATGACTAGACGAGACGAAGGGTAAAATTACGAACTTCGAGATAATAATGATCAGAAATATGTGTTTGTTGTCAAACCAGTAACATTGAGGGTGTGCATCAAGAGATCACTTTATGTTTGTACGAAGTGTCAGGTTAAATTTGACTCTGCTATATGCTAGGATTAGATCTACCCTGATGAATCACGTTCATGAATACGAGTTAATCGTTTCCTGGGGTAAGTTTTTTCCCTCATGGGTAGAATTTGATTTATCCTCGAAGTCGTTGATGAATACCAGGTTAGTCGCTTTCCGGAATAAATTTTATTCTCAAGGATAGATTTATCCCTCGAGATTAAGCTTACCTGTGCTTCGTGTATACGGATTTTATGCTTTCTGGGGGAACTTTACCCTCAAGTGTAAGGTTTACCTTTAGGGTTCGTTGATGAATACGATCACTGTAGAATTAGAAGTGATGTGCAAGAGCACAAAAGTTTCAACACAAAAGTTGATTGTATGTAAAAGCGAACTTTTGAAGTCCATTCTAGTTATTGAGGAATTAAGGATAATGTTATTCGGTGAACAGACGGCCTGTACCTCAGAGCAAATCTAAAAGGATAAAAAATGACATTACAAGCACTTGCACTACCTATAATCACATCAGCTTGTTGCTTGAAAAATTTCTATTTCAGTCTCTATAAAAAAGTAGACGATACTGAATATTTGAAATTGGCGACATAGGAGGAGAAAAGAGCTGTAAAGACTTTGGACTCGCTGGTTTGCACAATAGACGTATAATTGCGGCGGTTTTCTTCTACGGTAATAAATATGGCAAACGCAAAATCTCAAAAATGCAGATAGCGACCGCTGGGATTGAGTATGTGTCAGCGAATTCGAAAAAAATCTCAGTGTATATTCAATTATCTTAATGTATACTTTGTTTATTTTGTATCTTATTTTGCCATATTAAAATTATGCATCCGTCTTGAATGAAGCTTTGAAGCGCATTAAATTTTGCAATTTTGGTTTGGTCGTAGAATAAGTGTACTAGAGTATTTCTATCTACCTCCAAAAAGTCTGCAAAATCTTCTTACGTAGCAGTACCAATACATCGTAGCAATTTTCGATTTCCGGTATTCAATTAAGACAAAAAAATGAAAACGTCGTTTCTACTTTAAAAAACCCTTATCACTGCCTTACGCAAAACACAGCTTGAGTTCACAAGTTTGATCTTTTCTCTTGGATTGCTGCAGAATTTTTGCTCAAAGTGTGTGCTGAAAAAATGTAATACGAAGGAGTTCTCAATTGCAAAACGACATTTTCCACAAATTGTTTTGGCATTGTCCTAAGAGATCAAAGTCCGTTACAATACATAGTCTATCGCTATGTAAGAGAATGTTACGAATTTTTTGGAGGTGGCCAGCGACACAACGGTAATTTTACGACAAAAAACTCATGATCACAAATTTTGAGGTGCCGTCATTGGAAACTTGTTTCTTTGAGGTTAGCCGACAAAAAACTGCATTAAAATGAGTACAGTAAAATGCAAAACTTCTTCTATTTCTTGAGCAGAATGATTCTACGTTTAGGATTTGGAAAGTTATTTATTTTTTGATGTTGCGCAGAAAAATTGACATCATAGCTCGAAAGTTCTCCCCTCCCCCCCCCTCCTCCCCCCCCCCCCCCCCCCACCACCCGTCGAGATTTGTTGCAGAAATCCGAAATTGTTTAGTGACCTTTCGTCCAAAGCATTTGTGAGACAGTTGTTTGTTTCAACTTTCGGAATAATCGATGGATGCATGCAGGTGTTGAGTCAAATTGTTGTTCAGGTTGTTTATCTTCAAAACATTGTCACAAGATGTTAGATAGCGATCTTTTCTAATTACCTAGGAGTAATAGTCGAAAGTAAATCTTCATTTTCAAAACTTTGCTGATTCATTTCAACACATTTGCTCGGAATTTCCTCCTTTTTCGCCTACGTTCTTCGTCACTTGTCAGAGTCACCTGACTACTAGCTCAAAGCTTTCTATTAACTGAAATTTCAGCCGTTACATCATTTCGGCTGCTGTTCAAATGTCCTCAATGCTGCGTCGAATCTTGCTTATTTTCTGTTTGGTACTAATGGTAACATCGTATCCGCTGACTATGGATGGCATGAAGATGTCCGAGAAAATATTGAATCCGCCTTACGCGTCTACTTTCATGAATTGCAAGGATGTGGATTTTGGTAGCGTGAAGACAGAAGACATTCCAAAAATCAAAAAGGTAGGGAATTAATTCTTTCGAAATTGTGCTCTTTTATGAATTTGAACAATTATGCTGCTCGAGCTTAAAATCAAAAACTATCCGGGTATGACGAAAAATCAACAATCATTTTTTTCTCTGCTGCTAGTATTGTTGCCATCAGCGATAACATACAGAAATTCTAGTATTTGTATGTTAGGACATCTTTCATTCTAGCCAATTAAAGAATGTATATGATCATGCTGCGGGAGGATTCCCGAGTCAAAAATTTTAGTGAGAGGCCACCAACCTTTTTCACATCTTACTGAATTTTTTGCAAGAGTGATGCCAAGAACAAGACAAATTCGCGCTCAAAAGCCATAGTTTTCCTCCCATAAATCTCTATGCGGCAGCATTAAAATCACTTTGCCAAATCAACATTAGAGGGTCTCCATTGCACTGGCCAAATTTGTTTACTAGACATCGTGATTGATCAGTACTGCCCTTCGAAACTCTCGAATTGGGGAAAACGGATGTTTATTAAATAGATGAATACCCCGTAAAAGAAAAAATTGAGGCATGTCAATGATTGAGCCATGACAAGACAATATAAGATTTCTTCAATACTTCTATGAGACTTGTTTTTATAAACGTTGATGATGTTTTCCGTATTGTACTCATCTGGCCAACCTTTTTAACTCCTTTCGTTCTTGAATCTCGATTCCACATCAGCAGTAATTGTTGGCGGAACAATATTAGCATGGAAATCAATTACACTAACTCATACCACCTTTCATTAGTACGATAATGCATAAAAATAGTAGTCATCACGAATGCAAAAAAAAACTGTCTACAACGGTCGGGAGAGGCCCGAGACTTACTGAAGGAGATCAAGAGCGAAAGGGGAAAACGCGATGCTTGAAAAAAAACTCTCTGAAGATACTTAGAGCAATAATACTTGCGACAGCATAAGTATGCATCTGTTATAACTATATGAAAATTCTTCCTTTGACTTTTTTAAAAAACTCTGAACACATTTTCGCTCGTTGCAAATCTTACATAAATGATGCATCCCTAAACTGCATCAATGAGTCAAAGACCCGTGGTAAAGCTGCCTCATTCGATTTCAACTGACGAAAGCTACAGTTGAGGCTTCGACGAGTCAGCTCTGCCTCATTTGAGCCAATGACTGATAATTTTAACCATCCACATTGATATGATTGGGTACGCCACGTTCATGCAAGTATACAAGTTAAAACCCGTTCGCCAAACATTCACATCTTTGTGTTCGCTTCTAGAGGCGGAGATGTGGCCGCACTTGTTAGATCTTGTCGAAGATCGTCAGTCTGCATTGTGGCTCCTTACTCAGTGTGTTCGACATGTTGAACTGACATGTAGCGTAGTAAAGAGTAAGAGTAACTTACGCTTGTTTCTCTTAAAATCTACTCATTCGTACACTATTTCGGGAGATCATAGCTCGGATCATCTCCGATGACTCGGCAGGAAGATCATCTCTTCGCCGAACCTGACCTGAGGCTCACATGTCAGGCGACGTTGCATTCCTATAGCGTGGGGAAGTGGGCCTTCGTCATTTTCCCTGACGGAACCTCACATGAGGACCTCAAAGGAGGTCATCTCTCCTGACCGAGCTTCACAGGGTGTCAAAGTCTTTTAGCCTTGTATTTTTCCTGATAAAAACAGAACAACGCAGCATATAAAATATGGTTCACACATTATTCAGACAATAACAAAGACGTTACAGCATTCGAAATTCGTGATAATGTATTAACCTATTGACGAAAACCTTTAAATTGTTGGCGATTGCCACTGCCGAGGCACGCAAGTAGCCATCACAATTTCCTCCCACGCTTTGAGGCAATTAGTTGTTATCGCTCAGAAAATACGGTGTTCGATAGAGCAAGCTTCCAACTACAATATACTTTGAAGAATAAATTCTGTAAACTCTAGGATTTAAATTATATTTGAAAGCAGGATGTCTAGACCTTGCTGAAGAGTTTTAGGCAAAAATGCAGGGAATGGAATCAGAAAACCGGCTACAATGTGTGTGAAAACCAAGTTCGTCACCCAAGTTGAACCAGATTCTTATCTGAAGGACACGTAAAGAAAACATCATTTTAGATCTGGTAACTGCTACACTTTCAAATTCAAGTTTGAAAGATAAAGGCAGTAGCACGCATTCAGGGTTTCCACATTTCCCCCACCCCTCTCTCCCCTTCCCCCCCCCCCTCCCCGATGAAATAGACTTTCAAATGCAGCTGCTACAGTAAAAGTAGTGCAAGGCCTTCTCTATGCAGCAAACATGAATTTGCACAGAAATGTTCCAATTTTTCAATAGCGCGAAATTGTAAACCCCGAGAAAACAGATTTTCGTGCTTTGACAAGGGAACGATCCCAACTTAAGGTGGCGAATTGGAATGAACCGCATACCATTAGATGCGTCTTGATGAGCTGATTCCAAATCTATCTTCCATATCTGCGACAACGTTATTCGCAAGAAATTATGTGCGGTTGAAAATGTGAAGTTATTGGAGTTTTAATGCATAATGTGCTTCAAAATCCAACTTGAAAGTGCACGACTAGCATGATATTGAGTGTACTGATTTCACGGAATGCTCACATTCAAAATGAACACAAATAAGTGTTTTTAAACAGCTAAAAAGCAACTAAAGTTCTCTGGTAAAGGCTATGAGCAACGAAAAATCCAAATTTGGCAAATATACAGCGCCATTTTTCGAAAATTAGTTGTTCAAAAACACTTATTTGTGTTTCTTTAGAATGTGAGCATTCCTTGAAATCAGTACACCCAATATCATGCTAGTCATACACTTACAAGTTGGATTTTGAAGCACATTATGCATTAAAACCCCAATAACTTTACATTTTCAACCGCTCGTAACTTTTTGAAAATAACATTGTCGCAGACATGGGAGGTAGATTTGGAATCAGCTCATCAAGGCGCATCTAACTATATGCGGTTCATTCCAAATCGCCACCTTAAGTTGGGATCGTTCCCTCGTGAGAGAGAAATGATTTGATAGTTTCATTTTTTATGAAGTTAAAAATGGAGATTATTCTGGACTCAAAGAAGTTGTTTGGTATAAAGGGTCATTCAAGCATTCTGTGGCATAAATTGGAAATTAGAACCGCTAGTGATTCATAGTTACATTAGGCTACAAGACTTTTGGGACACCTGAAGTATATCACGTTATTCGGACAATTGCAGTATTTAGAACCACGATCTGTTCTCTTTTGTCTAAGAAATAAATTTATTTCATAAGTGAATGAGCAGAAGACAAAGTTTTACCGAGAAAAAAGCCTGTTAGTTTATTCTATTTGAAGTTTCCAAATCTAAAATAGCTCTTATAAAATCACTTTTCAACGATTTTCTGTTAAAACATAACATATAGGTTATACTCGAGATATGTAGGTTATACCACGCTCAGAAATCTACTCATCTTTGTAATGCAGTTTATTATGGATTACTATGAATTTATTATATGAACTCTAACATCTAACAAATTTTTTTAGCTCTACGGCTGCACTTACAAACCATGAAACCAAATTTTTAACCCTCACGAATAATAACAACGACCTCCTGAGCGACTTTAACCAAATCAGGTTTGCTGCTCTATGTTACTTGTATATATGTATATTCACACTGTGTATGCAGTTGATGCTATCATTTGTTGATGCTTGTGCTTGCTGCAAAAATTGCTGCAGATTTGCGATAAGGTGCTGGTTTTATCGTGTTTGCTGTAAATACGTAAATGTTATTGCCAATAAATCAACTTTTTCCTTGCATGCTTCTGCGATTTCTCCTTTAGATATTGTCAGTTGCAATTGATCTGAATTCCCATGAATAATCATTAGGGTTCGGCACCAGCTGGAACTAGGGAGATTTTTGAAGAAATCCCAAATCCCCCTCGAATTTGAAAATTTTCTACGAAATCCCCTTTGACAATTATTTTTGTCCTTCATTCTGGGAGTGCCAATGAAATTTGAGGGATATAGCCTAGAGAAAAGTTTATGAAACCATTTCTAAGTTTTTCCTTTGCATGAAAACATTTGCAAAGAAAGCATAATTCATGTAAAAAAGTATGAAAAATCATGTGAGAAATGGTTCGCTTAGCTCAACTAGCAAAAGGGACCGTTCCGGCTTATTTGGAACGAAAGTTAATCACGGCTTTCAATCACATAAGTTTTCATAAATTTTTGGGCATTGCATTCTGATGTTAAACAAGATTTGTGTTTTTTTGAGAGCACAATTTTAAATCTTGTGCTGACTGGCTGGTAGCATGAAGTAGGCACACTGCCAGCATGTCGCCAGCATGCCGACGGGTTTTTCTGGCGTGCTAACAGGCAACGGCATCTTAACCGCAAAAAAATATTCATTTTCTTTGGCTCAAAAACGATGTCCAGCTTGACCCGTTTCAGCTGCGCCCTGGTGATCCTATTCGAGGTTTGAAGTATAGGCTGCTGCATGACGAAAGCGTAATATCTTTGGGCGCGATTGCGGCTTTATTAGCCGCAGAGCGCATGAGGCGCAGGATTTACAACGGTGAAGATACGCGCGCGTTGCGTTCGCGCCTGCTCAACTGGTAATGATTCTGCGCCTTCGTCATGCAATAGCCTTTATGTAAAAGTTGGTCAAGTACTTTTCAAACTTTGTGAAAATCATTGAGTTTCTTGAATTCTAGTGCCAAGCAGAGTAGTCTTTTAGAGGCTTTCATTGACAATTTATTGTCAAACAGAAGTTTTACCAATGCGATACTACGCATCTATTTCGCCTAGCAGATGTGGCAAACAGAGCGTGATATAAGTGAGCAAGGAGAGAACAGAGGGATATCAAATAAAAAAAAGGTAATGATAGTAACAGCATTCAAAACCAGTTTACAAAAGTGCGTGGTTTAAATTAGGTATTATGGTGCGGCATTCGTCAAAAAGCAATTCATATCCATCACAGAGTCATAAAGCCTACTGATTTTCTTCAACAGATCTTGATATAAATAAGGAAAGCTAAGTAACTTAGCTCGGCCTTTTGGTAAAATGCATATATATTCTGAATCAGCATCAAACTCTGATTCCAAATATGCTATTTCCAGCTGTCACGCGTCATTCCGAAGCAAGTTAGGAGCTTTTTCCTACGCAAAATTGGCATATTACCGAACATGAGAAGACTGCTTGTGGATAAAAATCTGCAAGAAAAAAATGCTGAGGTATCGAAATAGTACAAATCCAATCTTTTCTCACTAAAAAAAGCTTAGCGCAGGTGTATCAGCACTTAGATGCTGATGACGTGATGCACATGAGTCGATGAGCATGTCAATTTTGCGCAGGAAAAAGCCCATAACTCGCTTCGGAATGGTGCGTGGCAGCTATTCAGATAATCGCGGGGGCATGCGGTCCGCAAACTCGTGCTTTTTTGCAAAAGGTCAGCAGAAATTTAGGGCGTGACAAAACCTTCAGCGAGCAGCACTTCCTTTACGGTCGCATATTTTGCCAGCGGGCAGAAATACAGCATTTTTCGCAAGCCTTCGGCAAATAATTTCTTTCAGCGATCGCTGGCCAAACTTTCAGCAAGCGCTCGGACTCTTTTTACACAGTTTCGGGCGTACGCCGAGAAAAGGTGAGATTCTATGTGGCAGAGGTGTCATCGTTGGTTCAATTACGTTTTGGGGTACCTTACGAGTTTGAGGTACCTTCTTTTATCGTAAGGGACCCTGGGCAGTGCGAGGGACCGGGCGACCCCAACAATTTTGCATATGCTCGCGGAAAGTGCGCGAGAATGCGGGAACTAGGCCGCAAATATCCTTAAAAAGACAGCGATAGTTCTCGAAGCGTTCTTCTGAAAATTGACCAAGATTATTCCAAGTTTCTGCAAGGGGACCGCAAGAAATCTATTTTTCCGATGCCCGCTTGCTCAAAATTCGCATGGCCGCCTGCCCCCGGCGGTTATCTGGGTAGGAATAGCATATCCGGAATCAGCGTTTGAAGCTGATTCGGACCATATATGTCCCTTGCCAAAAGGCCGAGCTAACTTAGGTAGCTTCCCTCGTCAGATAAATCTTATGCTATATAGGAAACTCATTCCTTGTTTGTAAGCATCTAACGCAAGCTCTGCTTTTCTTTTAGACCACCGCAGCAAATACTTCCTAATTTTTTTGAATTTTTTTGATTTCAGCTGAGTTCTTCTTGCAAAAAAAACATCCGCATAAAGAGAATTTTTATTTCAAACTCTGGTTACAAAGCATTTATCACGTTCTTGAAAAAAAGATGCTGCTTCTTCTCTTTTGCAAGAGAATTGCTGAAATTTGCATTTGCTGCAAATTTGCAGCAAATGCAATTTCAAACTTGCTTCAGTTTTTAGTCGGATTTTTGATACAGAATCTATTGAAAGCTCACATAGTAGGCAGACTTACTGCTCAAATTTTCAGACTTTTTCGCAAGCTTCAAGAAATATTTGTTCTTTATATAGCTAGCTCGTGTTTGCACTTAGAACCTTAGAATTTTATTTTTCAGAATTTTGACATAATTCGCATGAAAAACTGAATGGCCACTGACCACTGGCCAATGCAAAAAGTGCATAGCCATTGGAGAGCGAAGACAATTTCGGATTGAACCAACCCATTTGCTGGTCGATTAATGACTTTGAAGTCCGTGACTGGTCAAAAGCTTGCACATTTTTAAAGAAGTTCAAGCATTACGATTTCACCCTTCACTAGCTACTTAAGCGCTTATCCAATTAGTGGATAACTTGACCGGCCCCACTATTCGATCCTGCGAAAAGTCGCTTTGGAAGAGAACGCACATAAACAAGTTAACTTAATTCAAAAGCAAAAAATCAAATAAGATTTATCATCTATTTTTCTCAAAATCAAGTAATCTATCATATTTGCTGAACTTCGGCCATTCCGTCCTACTCTATAGCCAAGGAAACTACAAAATTATTCATTCCATTTGACGTTTGCTCATCTTCATACAGCTTACAAAAGGAAGTTTTCTGGTGTACGAGCATCATTACTCACATCGTGCATCTCAGAGGCGGTAGGTGCAGTTTCTAGAAATAACTCATATACGTCGAATGAATCTAGCAAGATGCTAACAACATGCGTCACTGTATCAATTATATTCGCCATGTTAATGTATGAAATAACATATTCACTGAAAGAAACTATGAACGAAGACGAAGCAAGCACGATCTCAAGCATTCGAGATTGGGGGCCGGTCAGCTACGGTAAGTCATATAACTTCTTGAGAGCTACTGCCAGAAGACAGTATTTTTCAGCTGGTTCGGAGCTGGAAACTATGTGAAGATTTATAGCGTCACATGTACAGTTTCAGTAGCGCTTAATGAATATCTCGAGCGTCTGGTTTTAACATTTCATATTAAAAGCATAACACCGTATTATGGAAAAGATTGTGTCGCTGTCTCTTTTTTATGCGTCAGATCAGCGCAAAAGTCGTGTTACCGTACTATGCAGTGCACCGTCACGGATGTCGCACAATCCACTTTTTCACTATTATACTGCCGCGATTACCGACGCCGTTGTTACCGTGTTACCATTCTTCGTTGCAGCCGTCAATGCCGCCGGCGCGCAACTTTGGCAACGTGCAGCAACATGTTGACATCAAGGCCAGAAAAGGGCTTGCCAATATGGTGTTGTGTGTGTTGTGTGTCGCAAACATGTTGTTTCATGTTGCTAGCATGCCAGACATGCCTGCCGCAGGTCAGAGACGCAAAGGTAGCAGCAATTGTGGAAGAGACGATACAGTGCAAGCACCCATAAAAACCCATTGACGACAATGTGCTCTTGCATCATATTCGTAGGTCTAGCATTTTTTCCACATATTGATATTTCTTCCAATTTTTCGCACTCTTGGGACCTGTAGGCTCCGTCTTTCAAGAAAATGTTTATACCCTCTGCTAACCAGGTCGGTGCGTGGAGGATGGGGCTTTGTGGCCTAATTGAGGCCGCTCGCGTTCGCGACGCATCTGCGTCTCTCCCGCGCTCGTGCTCTCTGATCATCTCTTAGCCTTAATTAGGTCACGAAGACCTTCCCTCCTTGAGCCGATCTGATTGAAGCAAAGGGTAGTTGCTTATATAACAACCTTGCATTTCGTAAATCACAACACTCGTCCCAAAGCGCCTTCATGCAAAATGGCGTCGTCGTCAACGGGTCAAGCAGAAAATCTACTCGACTATAACTTTGAACCATCGATATGCAACTGAGCACACGATAGGCCTGCAGAACTAATCATGACTTATAATAAGCGGCTAAGGATGTTTACGTCTTTTTGTCTGTGTGTGTGTGTGTGTCTGTCCGTTACGAAATTCGTAGAGCGTGTTCCAGCCAACGTCCTGAGCCCAAATTTTGCATAGCGCACGCTACCAGCACGAAAGCTCACTATACAAAAGCATGAGCGGATCCGTTGAGTGGATCCGTTGAAAATTGCGCGTCAAACGGATCCGCTTGGCTTCTGGCGAGCAAATTAGGTCCGTAGTACTACTTTTTGCAGAGTTATGGATATGTTCGACAATTTAATGTGCAAGCCATGGACGTTAGCCTAAAAAAGTGATGAAAAGTCTACTAATTTACGAAAACAGCGCCAAAAAGCATTGGCTGTGCAAACGGTCAATTTTTCAAGATTTTACTTGATCATTTGAGAAGATTTTTGCACAGAGATTTAGCCCACGATGTTTGTTGTTCTTATGGCGACTACGAAGCCATAAAAACTCCAGAAACCTATTCAAATTTGCATCTGTTCTTCTG